GAAAAATCCTTCTCTAAAGGAATAACTCAAGTCTGCCACAGAATTTTAGGTAGAATTAGATGTAAATGAAATACTTCAAAAAATACTTGAGAAAATCAGAAAATTCCCGTATTTATCCTGACCTTCAGATTGGTATTGGGAAAGTATATGTGATCTGACAATATGGACCATTATATCTTATAGCAACTGTGTTTGTTAGAGCGTTCAGTTAGGTTCCTTCAGATACTTCGCTTTAAAAAGCTTGCGTCAAAAATTTTCGAGACATAGAAATTCAAATACCTTTAAAAGCCTAATGCCAATAATGCCATTGCTAAGAATGCAACTGCCATTGTTGCAGCCATCTTATCGTTCAACGGATCAGCTAAGAATGCTGTGAAGAAACATACTATTCTTTGACTGTGTATGTACATCTAATTAAGAATTAGCCTAGGCCAAGCTTACTTATTCACAAACCAAAAGCTGCTTCCTTCGAAATAACTAATTGAAGGAACTTCGTACATGAGAATCTGGTATCATAATTCAGCTTCCTATGCTTTACCGCCCAACGGAGCTGGTCATTTTTCTATAGAGTTTCAGCACTTAGTTATTGAAAAACGAGAGATATTTCCTAGCTTATAATATCGTGCCTCAGGCAGCTTTCGATATCACGTCGATACTGAGAAATTTAAGTTTTGCAGGTCAGCCGTCTGTGCAAGCACAAGCAAAACGATAGAGCCGAACTAACCACCCTTTCTTATGGCAGAGGTTTAGACGAGCACACTAAGAAGGAGCCTGTGTGAAAGAGCGAAAGAGTTCATATACGACTATTTAACAAGATGGGGACGAAGACCATTGCCAATCCGTCCTGGTATCTCTGACTTTGCAATCGCCTCACTGCTTGACTTCCGCTCGTAGCGCTTGATTGCTGGTGTTTTTGTTTGTTTCTCCTTTAATATGCTCAGACTCCTGTTGGGCCAGGCCAATACTTGGCGAGATTAGGAAATTAAACGTATAGACGAATGAGGCAAAACCCGTGAGGAACCTACAAATTGCAGTTTACAAAATTTGCCGCTCAATAGCCTGGAGAATTGCGATCGCTAGCAACTAGAGTGAAATGTAGAGCTTTATCAATTCATTTTGTGGGAAAGACGAATTTGTTTGCGTCAACTCCGCATACGTATATTTGACATTTTTAGTATCAAAAGGACTAAGCCTGCAGTCAGTATGAGTAGGATGCCTTGTTTGTCAAGCTTCTTTGCCTTTGTTGCATATTGACTTTGTTTCATTCCTGAGTAGTTCATTATACTCAGCTGTGCGCTTGCCTTAATTGCTCTTAATTTTCCGGTAACTTTCTCTCCACAAATGTTCTAGCTTAGCTTAGACACGTTTTCTGAACATAATGATGAGACCTAAATGGCGCTTCTTGATAAAAACTCGGATGGTTTTAGGAACGGAAATGGTAGCGGACACATCCCAGTTCTGACAGGTTCTTTTTTGCTATACAAGTTGCTCGGTTATCCACTATTAAAAAGTGTATGAGTAATAAAGGAAACCATTGAAGATAACCTTGGCTTTAAAGAATGTCACCAAAGTAAGGAGGGTTGCTAGCCTCTAGAGGCCATCAAGACATCAAAATCTCAGTCGTTACATTCGAGCCTCGAAAGACTTCAGAAAGAGGTCTTGAGAAGTCAGCAAGACCACTCAACGCTTACCGCAGAACTTCATGGACGAGTGCCTCTCAATAAGTTCCGATTTCAATGGGACGGCGGCCTGTTAAGGAGGAGAAAAATGTCGCCGAGATCGAGTTCTCTGGAATCGATATCAGCGTCGTACAACTCGGTACAGCCGACCTTTCCCGGGTAAACCTGTATGGGTAACGCCTCAAAGCCGAAACCCAAATCCTTACACTGGTAGTCGAAAAACCACGGTCCGGATGCGATCCATTCGACCTAAAATGCTTGTGTGATACCCCTAAGTAAGCTCACCCCTTCTCGCCTGAGCAAACCCATATGGAAGGGCACATATAACTTGTTGGGGTAGACATTGATCGATTGGGTCGAATTTGATGGTTGTATACTGACTTGGGTACCGTGCCAGCAGCAGTTGCTTCGAATATCTTGACAAACGAGGCGGTATGACGAAGTTTCTTGTCCCCCCTACTACGGGACATAAAACGCACCTTTGTGCACCTATGATTTGACGACGCATTCTAAAAGATTTGTGTTTGATTATCTCAACTTAAATCGTCGGTCGAAGTATTTAATAACTCCTACCTGTGCTAGCATGTCCAAATTAGTCATATATAGCTTTGACACATTGTTAAGCAGGATGTGAGCAAAGAGTATGCCATGAAAAGTTCACTGACGCATATGCTTGGTTAATCAATATATTTAATAAGTGATGAAAATCTTTTATCATTTGCTTGAAAGCTGTACGTTTGTCACAGACTATTGACTATCCGACTAATTTCGAATGGTTATCAGCCTTCTGGAGATAGTTTTGCAGCCTGCTATATAACTATAAGTGCGCCGAAGTTACTTGCACAGCTGACAATGACGGGACCACTGAACACACTTCTTTTTCTCTCTTCCTTCCTTAAAGAGAGAAACTGTGCCTTGAACTATTATGCTCCTCACAAGAGGACGTTTGCTGAAGCATCAATTGACATCTTGCAAAGTTTTCTCCTTCTGCCGTAGCAAAGGTGGGGCTTTGTGCGCCATACGCCTAATGATAGCCTAGATTTAATTGTTTTTACCCTAGAACTTCGTTCGTTGTTTGTGTTTGGTGTAAGGAAAACTACACGTCTTCATCCACGGCTTCTCGCGTTCTTTCACATTCTTGGTTTATATAAGAAGAAATATTTTACACGTCGTTGTTTAGGGGTGAGGGTCACCTAATTCTGAAAGCAGCCACTTCTACAGAGACAATTTCCAATTGAATTTCTTTCCAGTCATTGATCCATTAGATGGCTCACGACTAGCTTTTGTTGAGTAAATGTACCGAATCTTAGTTTATAAGTCAGTCGCCTTCGCCATGACAGGCATTCGATGCCTGTTCATGGTTGAAGGATTGAACGCGATTTGGAATTAGAAGATTAACGAGCGCCCTCTATTGGTTCGAGAGTATCGAGCGAGAAGGACATAGGAACAAATCGTTCGGACAGCACGCGAACTCCATCTCAGGGAGGACCTCAAGCTTCGGGCTATCTATACAATGTCATTTCTTCATAACAAATCGAATTAACATCTTTCTTACACTCGTTAGGTTAACGGATAAGTGCAAGTGGCATCTTGAGACCCAGGACAGCTCAGTCCAGTCAGTTGTAGCGACGGACTGCATTAGTAGATAGCATAATACGAGAAAGGGCAAAAAGCGTTCCCAGTGGTCCAGTGAAGCGAATTATACATCTTTGTCAGCGCCATGTTATGTGCTGTATACGTACAATATACAATACATGTCTAGCATCTAATGTAGTAGTCCCCGGCTGAACAACAGCGAGAGCTATCAAATAAGTGAAACACATGTACAATGAAGAGGTCTTGCCCTTGCAGTGTATTGCATCACATAGTTTTGCCCAACTAACCGTTTTCTACTGTAGGACAAATGCATTAAATACAGAAAAGACATCGTTGCGCATTACGAAGCCTGGCAAGTGCTGTTATGTGTGTACTATTAATGTATTGTTACAATGTTATGAACTCAAACATGCATGTTCCGTGTAGAATGAGCGCATTTTTAATGCCTCTTGTATAATGCATTTCGTAGAAGCCAAAACACTGTTAAAACAATCCGGAACATTTTCTTGGATATGCTAATGACACGATCACGAAAAGGGCCGTTCAAAAGCGGTTAGCCAAATTCGAAGACGATATCCGGCTTCCCGCTCTGTCGGAACGTATAAGTTTGACGACGACTATCTAGAGGGGGTACATGTAGAGATGTCGCTCGATAGCGAGCGTCACACAACTAGGCTGACCGATTTTTCCATTGAATCTTTACTGGCCTATACGTTAACTAAACGACAAATTGAAATGGATGGCCAAGGCCTGAGGTTTCCATTCAAGGGAGAGTGTGCTTTGCATTTAGTCGAAGTGTAAGGGCTTGATCTCCTAAGTATTGCTTCTTACAGATTAAACAGTATATTGGCACGTCTATTTGATCTAATTGCAATGAGTCAACCAAACCTTTCAACAGAAAGAAGGCCCATGTCGTCCTGCTCCACAGCAACGCGAGGCTGCACGTAGCAAACATTGTCAAAACTGGCTTCCTGAATTTTAAATGAGAGGTTTTGCTACACCCCTCCATATGCTCCGTACCTTCCGCCGACGAATTTTTACCTTTTCCATTCGGTGGACAACCATCATCGCAGTCTTACGTTTGATCTGATTGAACTGGATATGTGGTTGAAGTGTCGCTTCGCTATCTTCTGGCAAGACGGCATGCACAATTCGGTTGACAGGTAAAAGAAACACTGACAAAATATATATATATATATATATCATGTGTCAATCTTGGAGGAAGCAAAGTATATAGTGAATCCTAATACCTTTTTATACTATATTATACTGTACTATATATCACTAGTGTATATTTTGATCATCCTACCTTACGTACTTAACCTAAACATATTTCACATTATCGGCTATTTAAGAAATTACCTAAAGAAAATATAAAATACCAGTTTTGTACTATTAATTGCCTCTTAATTAGGCAATAAAACGGTAATAAATTTTAAGGAGTAAGTGATCGCTTCCAACTCCACATAAGACGGCAATGACCTTCCTGTTTACTGACTGAATGATGAACTTCTATGTATATAGAACGTTTTTAATATTTCCTCATCGAAATCAGGGCATACAACATATCACCTGCCACCTAGATAAAATATTTATCGTATATCTTAGCTATAATCAGACATTGAATCCCTATTGTGGAGTTAATAATACAAAACTCTTATTTTCCCATTTGATTGACCCAAAAGACCTCAGTAATATTTATTCCTCAGTTATCCTTTGCTGATATTGAATGACTGGCCCATGTCAAAATAAGTCCGCGGTATGTGTCGAAGCGCGCGTCTTCAGTGTCAAGCGTTCTCTAACGCCACTTCATCCTGTCGAAACGTTCTCATGTAATAGCGTGTCTGGACCTGGGCTCTGTTCGTCTTTACCTGCCAAGACAACGGTATCTTTGGCATTTGAGGTGTCTACGTATTCGCATAGCGAGGTCGCACCTCGGAATCGTTACAACGGTACACTTCGAGAGGATCCTACAATTTGTTTTCGTTGTCTAAAATTAAGTGCAGTGTGACAAACTGACGGGCGGAGACTGTTTTTTTTTTTAATTTTTTTTTTTAAATTTTATTGAGATTAATGCAATAAATAAAGAAATCGCATGAGTTAAGCTAGTCGTATTGGCTTGATTTTCACTCAGTAATAGCAATTTGTCACGTAGTCGTATAGTAAGTAGACACCGGGCAAAGTGAGAATCATAAGTTGTCAAAAACTTACGATTCCTACTTTCCATTTCCACTCTAGGAGGATTAGTGGTTTGTATAGTAGGTTCCCAACGCTGTATTAGATCGCAAATTTAATGCTGACAGGGTCTGTGGTGTACCTCTGCGTAACGAACAATGAGCTTTCTTTCTATTGCTTCAGCTACCGGCTAAAACAATAAGATGATGATAGAGAAACGCCGCATCTTTGCGCCCTGACGCAGTAACAAAGAATCGGAGCATTGAAAATTTCACTAGTGCGCTCTGTTCTGCAGCCACAAAAGCGGGAGGAGATTCACATCGGCCAGATAGCTATTTCTCGGTCCTCGAGGCGAGACGTAGCCCAGACTTGTGCAGACGGGGCGGAACGTTTGCGCACAGACCTAGGCCCAGCCAGCGGGGCGGAACCTTCGGCTCACAAGATAACTTTCGTTGCGTCTCAGCCGTACGGTACCAGCTATACGCCGCTTTCCTTCGCACAAAACATATACCATATCCCCGTTCCCAATATGTTCAATCATGCATTCAGCCGAGAGCTTATCTACCCTAGAACGCTCCCCACGGGCTTGCTGCCTCGATATCCGCGACGTTTTAAGCAGTTCAGGGTGGTCGAATATGGGTCCAACGTAACGGTGATGACGAAGGCTTTAAACGAGTCAAAAAGAAGGCTAAGCTATTTGGCATAGAGCCGCAGTAAGGCGATCATGGTTATTCGAAGCTTTTACTCCGAATGTCAGCTCTCGCGCACGGCAATCACTGAACAGACTTTAATGATAATTGCGAGGAGAATGAAACGCGCTTCAAATAACTTGATCCCTTCTTTAAGTGAATTTGCTTCCCCTGTTGTGGTAAAGTGTACGACAAGTTCAGGAATATATTCTAATTGGATTGTCTAGCCTTTCAAGAACAACAACTCTTAAGTCACGTCCTCTTAAGAGGTAACGCATGCGCAGTCGCAATGAGTTCGTACTGTGATGAGAAATGGCTTAATTTAAAGATCAATTTCTGCTAAAGTTGCCTATGATGATTTATATTTTTTTTGGTCGGCACGATTCGATAATAAATTTCACAAATAAATTTATGATAGGTGTTTTTGTCTTTTTTGGAAATCTTAGTTATTTTTGCTTTATAGAGAGGTTCTACGGATCACTTTTTTTAGGTATAGCGTCAACAACCTGCCCCCAGTAGAAGTCTAATCAGGGCTAGTTCTGCTAGGCTTATCATAGGCTTCTTCAGAAGATCTACAAAACTGTATGGCAAGGATACAAATAGCTATTAACATTAACAATAATATTCCATTTTCCTTATTTGCTTAGTCTCCTGGTTAAGAACCTTTCGGTAATCACTCTTACCAATGTTAAGATTTGAATCACTGTGGAAGCACGCTTGTCGGTTACGGTCGCCGAAGAAAGATATTCAAGGAGATGCGAATTAGCCATCCAGACGGCGCCGCTTCCCTGCGATAAGAACAGTCTCTTACTAGCAGGCGCAACTAAGTTCTTTAGATTTAGGCCATGTTTGAAAATACAAATACATGAAAACAAAACCATTAGATATTCTATAATGATAAGGATGAAACATTTGAATTGTACACGTGCATAGCGTAATCGAATTTAAGTTACGCAAGAAAAGGTCTTTTGTTATGTCTTAACCATTTGATGATTATTTCATGATGATATGAATAGCCAACCTTGAAAGCTTTTGATTCCTGGCACTGCGTTTTCAGTGTGCTTCGCCAGGCCAATAGGCAATTACGTTATCACCATGCTGTCTTGAACAAAGATAGATTGCCAGTCGATTCGTCATTCTATGGTAACTTTATGTATCTTTACTATATTGAAGATGCTTGGCATCATAGCCATGCTCAGCGACATAACATGTAATACTAATCTGCTCTTTAGCATCAGAGTTTTCCCAAAAAAGCAGAAGGCTACCCTATTGCGTATCACTCTATTGGCCTGTTTTTTCTTCGGCTCAGTTAACAATCGGGGTTGCAGCCAGTGCCTTTGAGATCCACGTGTGCGGCAATTTCCCTCACGTAGCATTCTCGTTTCGGTTAGAGACATTTTCCTTCCAGGAATAAACCTTACCCCATCTCATCTACGCCCATTGGCTAGTGCCATCGTCCTTTCGGGAGAGAATTAAGTAGACATCGGGCGGTCAGTGCCTCTTCGGTCATGGTTTCAAAGCTTTACTTCATAGCTTTCGCTGGTACAAACTGCGTCGCCACTGATCGACCCCTTCCCTCTTTGTTTCGTCGCTCCGTGCTCAAACGAAGGAAGCTGCCATGCTCGTTGCCTCATAGTAAAGCCGCTCGACTCATTGCAGCGAGAACGTTTATCAGCCAGGCTCGTCAAACGGCACACGACCATTGGCATTACCACCACCATTACTGAAGCCGCCAGGGAACTTCACTTCGTCGGCTATGAAGACCCCGCCGCCGCGGCCGATGAAGAAAATAGCGAAGACAACGATTGCAACGATGACGCCTGTTGCAATTGAATTAGATGCGGATACGTTCAGACTTCTTATTACAGAGCTCTCAGAAACGTCGGCAATTGTTAGAACCAATACTCTGAACGTATCTACCAACAACGACACCAGCTCACTGGCTGAACCGCGTGAATGGCTCTCCCCCACTGAGCGTTTCCGTCATCGCTTCCGGATGGAAGATAGCGAATAAACGACAGAGGAAAAAGATGAAGTGGGAAAGTAGGTGTACTGCAAAGTTTGTTATATCTATCATTGGCTAATGGCGCTGGCCTTCCTGGATCTCTGGTTTTATGACGATTACGCGTTGGAAAGAGCAACAGTAGTAGCACCATTTCTTAAAATACATGTGGATATGATCATGACTAATTAATCAACAGAATTACTTTAGCCTGTACATGGACCTTATAGGACCATGGTTCATTTACAAAATCAACAAAGCGCAGTGCATTGTAATAGTTTAAGCCAAGCTCAAGTAGTCTAACTCTCAGTATTATAAATAGTTTTATCACTAACTACTGCCGCGGGGCTGCCCTTTAACAATGGCAAAGATGGCCGTTATGTTTCCTTAACGTCACTGTAATAATTAGAAGTAACGATTTGCCAAAACGTGAACGTAGAGCATACTAACGAATTTCGTGATAGGGAATACTCTGTTTCTTTGTGAAATTACGCTAAGACACCTACAAGTATCATTGGCACTGCAGAATTTCTATCCGTGTCTTTTTTTTTGCACTGTCCAGCAGCGTCTCTGATCAACTGGCTAAATATCTGAGCGGACTAAGTTGATTTTATTGGACATAGAAAGGTAAAAAAATCGGTTTAACAATGTGCCCCGCGTCGCCTCCGGTAATTTCATTGCTAACAATGATAACAACAATATTAAATTAAGACTATATAGTTTTGTGTTGTACCTACACAAATGTCTTACATAAAACAAACATTTCTAATTACTGGTAGATTTATGACAGTAGCCGTACACACACATTGGGTGTACTACGCTTTTTAGCATATATATATATATATATATATATATATATATATATAGCTTGGTAGGCATCAAGGCTACATCGGAAGTTAAAATCGGCGAGTGAGTCGGGGGTGAAGTTCAGCATTGACGTCTGTTCCTATCGGCCAACCAAGCGCCATAGCTGCAGTTGTTGCAATGAAAAGGCCGACGGTTAACGGAAAAAATGGATGCAGCGTTATGGTTGCTACTGTGAATTTCCGTCTCACACTTGTACTATTACAACGACTTACTGCGGCGCTGCCAGTGGTAATGCGGGTGCGACTACATCGGACAGAAATGACGTAATTCTTTTTTCTGCTAAGGCGGAGATTGCAACGGCAGGCTTTCCGTCGGTCCATCAACTCACCTCCGTTCGTTTGTTTCAATGGTCACTGCCGTTGTTGTTGTCGTTGACGTCATTCTTCGCAGTTCTCCTTTCGACCTTGGCCTCGGAACTTTCTTCTACTAATCCTTCTCCTCCGTTTACTCCGGTATTGCTCAAGCTACAAATGACCGAGCGATATATGTTTCTGTTCTGTAGCTATTACCACTAGCGATTGTTCTAGCATGAACGAGTCCGCTGACAACAACGAGGCCGACAGTAAGGCAAGATAGGTACACTTCTCTCGGTTGACGAGGTTTGTTCGCACAGTTTTGTGCTTTTCTGAGGGTAGTGTTGCCCCGAATTCGCTTAGCCAGCGAGCACAGCAAAAAAGACAACAACACCAACGATGAAACAACATCAGTATATGCCTGAGCCATGATAAACAGATTGGAACATTGTTAGCTGTTCCTCCAATATGAAGGGTAAAAAATGGAAAAACATATATGTATAACCATCGACTTCTACAGGATACAATATCCAAACAGTAAAATATAATATACTGCTACGATCCTGAATTATCTGTTTTCCCCTATTGCCGAACTCAAGACCCCTTTGGTTTATATGTCACATCATCTTTGAGCAAGGTTGTTGCGTAGAAACCAGTATGGGAGTACAATTTGGTAAAAGGTGCTTGTTATTTCAGCCGAGAACTAAGAATATGTCTAGATAAATGATGCGTATTGTAAAATGTATCTGAAAAATCGTTTGCTTTTCTTATGTTCTAAAGATGTTACCCTACAACATTAAGTGAATCCGTCATAAATAAATAAGTAGGAGTTAACCTGTATATATGAACCACCTATGAAATCTTTTGACGTAAAAATGTGGGTACAAGGTCGGAAGATAATAAAGTATAGCAAATAATAGAAATAGCTTTTTCCAGTCAAGAGAAAAGTAGTATCGTTATCTGTCGTTATTTTATCGTAGGTAATTACACAATAGAACGGATTTTGCGATAAATAAATAGTCCTGCAGCGTTAATATTATCCTGTAGTCATTTCATTATTGTGTACCAGGAAATCTGCCGGGGGCTCGCTTGATATGTTGGCTTTTCCTGGCCATTTTTAAAATGTGATCACGACGTTTTTTGGCTTTTTAGCGCTGTCTAATTAATTCGATCTCTGAAATGCGTTTGAGCAGGATTGACCGTGGGTCGACCTCTGAGGAACGGGCGTTAATCGATTGGGCCTCCGGTCAATTCTGAATAGGTATTGCAACTAATAGAGCCGATTAACCTATTGATTCTCCTAGCAGGCTTAATATTTTTTTACGTATTTTTCAAAAATATTGATACATATTATGTCAAACAAAGGCTAACTATGCTCCCGGCTCAGTTCACTAATCAATTCAAAGAAGGTTTTTTTTTAATTTTCTATTGTAAATATTTACAATTATTTTTTATATTTTGGAATTTTTCTCTGAAAATGAATGAATCATTTTTTTATAAAAGTATCATATTAGCCGGTTCAGTATTTTAACCAATATTTAGTATAAATTTGTTCAAACGCAGGTTGAGCGCATTTTCCTATTATTACTACGTAGATAAACTGATACAAACAGGTGGTCGACATTCTTTTTTTTTTCGCTTTTTTAAGGTACCCACCTTAGAGATGTAATAATTTTCCATTCAGCTCGTCGATTGCTATTAATAAAAGCTTTTTCCTAAATTGAACTTAAGTTTTCTCCTTTCAAACGGCTTTTTGGGCCTAAAAACTGAAATCTATATCCATGAACACGCACAGTATTTGAATTTAGCTCATTGAAGGCTTTTGATTGGTATCAACAAACACACCCATTGATAGTTAAAAATATTTACAGTAGCATACACAAATACATAAAAAATCATTCCTTGTCCTTTTTCCCGCCAAAATATTAATTTTGGCTATAGGAAAATACAGCATAATTTTTACTTATATTGTCAACATCTACTGACTGCTATTAGGAATTGGCGTTAACAAAGTGGCAAGTTACGTAAAAAAATGATTTCAATATTTTGGTATGTCTCTCAGAGAAGAAATAATTTTACGGAAATGTTCTCCCAATTAACTTCTTCAAATATTTAATTGACACTCGTTATGGATTCGTTTAGAAAAAAAAAACATTCAAAATTTCCTTGAAACAGGTTTTCATCTTACTACCTACCAAATCGGGGAAACTGATGGCATATTCGACTTTTTACGTTCTTCACAACAAAGGATACATTTCAGGTAAAACGATATTTATTGCATTTGCACTCAGTTGGTCAAGATTATAAATAAGAACAAAAATATATATATATATATAAGCCCTAGATAAAACAGCACGTCGGGCTCTCAGCCCCTACACAACATTTTTTTTCTTGGGAACCGGCACTTGGGCATAAAACCATGTATAGTATTTTGATTCCGCCCGTATTCACCTGTATTCAGAGCAACCCCATAAATAGTTATTCCAAATCAGCAGTCTGCCATTTTAACAAACGACAGAAATTCTGACAAAGATCCCTCCAACATTTAGCCTATTTTATCCTACTTAACTACTACGAGCAAAAGAAACTACCGTTTTGGAAAGTTACATAAAATGAACAGCGGCGATTCGTATTGCATTCATTATAAGCACCTGGGTAAAAATTGCCCCCGACCACGCATACCCTAGAGCTTTTATAAATGAACAGCTTTTCAATAGACATTTTTTACAAATTCTCAACTGTGCTCGAGAAATTAATCAAAGAAAGTTTGTTGGGCGAAATTGACATATGCTTTACAGAATGGAAAGAACTATTCATCTAGTCGGCTCCATATTCGTCGCATAGTAGTTATAGCATCGTGTACGTAAATAGCGAAACCAACTGTACGAAACCCTTTTGACCGAAACAAAAATCAGCCTAATGCGAGAACCTTATGGCACCGTTTTAGGCTGACAAACTGACGTACACACAGTGCGTAGGGTTTTGTCCTGCCGTTCATTAATTTATCTAATCTGATTCATTTTCCTTGGTCATAGGCCAACTACAGATCAGTTAGTTACCTTGTGGCATCTAGCTAAGACGGTACCATTCTTTAGCTTGGTGTGAAAAACGGCACGGGCTTCCCTGTCCTAATTCGTACAGTGAGATCGGAACGTTACAAAGTTTGGACAATTAAATCGGTAATGAAGGAGGCGCACCGAGACTTTATACGGTGAATGGAGGCGCATTCGTCGACTTAGCACGTATATACGGCTAGACCATTACGTTCTTGTATTAGCTATCCTTGTAAAACAGGTCATTGTAGAAGTGCTAGTTCTACTATCGTGCTTACCAGTTAGGAGTATTTTAATATTATCAGAGGCCCGCGCAATTTGAAAACAGCGTGCGACTAACCGTAGTTAGGGTCTCGAGCGAGATTTGAAGGTTGTCGAACGTTTCATTCTGGACTTTGTGGGTAATTGTGGTGAAGCATAACAGTATCGTAATCTGATATTAACTTAGGCAGATTGTCCGCGGTGTAAAGAAGTAAGAAAGTAATTCATACGTTTCAGATCTTAGGAGGCGGGGGGGGATCAAGGTTAGGCACAGAAATAATAAATGATTCATTTACGCAGTCACGCAAAGTGTGACAAAGAATTATCAAGAACACAATTATCAAGAAAGTTCTTTCATTGTAAATTATTACGTTAGCATAACCAAAGATTCTGTTACTTTCGATCAAACTAGTCTGACGAGAGCGAGGCGGATCAGCGGGTTTTACCTCGAGCCTTGTTTGCCGTTGATTAATTTCACTAAATGTATTAATTTGTTACATCCAGCCAAATTTAAACCACAGTATATATCCACAATCATTCTATTACGGTTAGATTGCTTCACCTAAACGTCTATTCTTTCACAGTCACTCTGTATTATATATTAAGGACCTTAATAAATTTAATTCGCCAAGGAGACATTATAGTTCGATTGCAGATCTGTACAAGGCGGACGCCATTTTTCAAGCAGTGTCGCTTAGGAATATTTGAGCATGTAGATTTCTTCACATGAAAGGTTAGTTTTTTGACCGTACGTTCTAGTTTCTACACAACACAATGTTGACGAACCACCGCGCACGCTGAGAGATGCGGCGTTTTGCCGGCGTCGTCATTGCGAGCTGGCTAAGGTCGTGCGTACTACTTCTAGTGGATTACCATTACGCTAGATGGAGAAATTTTGCTCGACATCTACTTTTCTTTGTTTCTTTCTGGACATATTCAGTTCACAGAAGGGACAAATTCGTTGCTAGCTACCGACCTCATTTCGATTAACAACCTAAGTATACCTTTAATTCATCTGCAACATGCCGAAATAATAAGCAGCCGCTTGGGCAGAGCTGAGCTATCTCTGATTGTTTCTGTTAACCTATAAACGAACTACATCTCAGTAGCGTTTCTGTCGAAAAACAAACTTCTGCGTGCGAATTCGCGTTCATTCTTTCGCATTAACAAAACATAGTATGTTCATCCTTACGATTATAATAAATCCATCTACATATAGCATACACGCTGAAGCTTCTACGCTGACGCTCGGTCTTCTAAACCACGCTATCTTCAGAAAACCTCTCCGTTAGAATATCTATACAACGTATATCTATAAACATCGTGTCAGCCAAAACAGTACCATAATAGGGCACTAGTTTAGTGATATAATAATACTGGCGGATTGACATACGATGTTCGTTAGTATGGCGTTAACAACGCGATTCGTGAATACGGACATCAGGAACCGGAATTTATTTTACTGCGACAATTGTTAATGCAAGGGCCATCGTCCAAATTGTATTACTGTTATTATTGTTTTGTTTTTTAAATCGCGTGGCCTACAAACAGAAAGACTGTACGAAAGAATGGAGAAACGTTCAGACCCCGTGAATTTGGTTTCGGCGGTTTTCGACAAAGCAGTCCAACTGCAACCTCAGGCTCTTATTATTTGCCATAGACTAACGTCAAATATGGCTGACCAGGAGTAAATTTGTTTTTATAAGGTCTAAGAGATATCTGGAGCGTACCATTAAATGATCTAATTCAAAATCCTAACTAAGACCTGACCCAACGTTCTTGAATAAAAAAAGAAAATAATCATAATCTAAGCTCGATTTTTTTGGCT